GAAAATGCCCAGGCCGCCTTAACTATTTCTCTTACGATGGGTTTAGAGGTTTTTCTGTACAACGTGTTGTCGCACCTCTGTGGACTCCTAAATTTTTTAGACCTAATCACTTTTAAAGACTCTGTCACGTTTCCTTCCTTAAAACATTTCCCTTCTTCCTCCTAAATGGATCTCGCAGTGAGTGCATTTACACCCAGGCACACCTATACCTACCGTACTTCCCATACTTTGGAAGCCATCCTTTTCTCTGGGAAGTGTGAACAAGTAGGCAGAGCAGGCTTTTGAGGCTCTCAATTCCTTCAGTGCAGAAATTTTGATCACCACAAAAGGAAGTGGGGGAAGAGTTAAAACAGTTATTTTTAGTTTTAAGTTTCATTTTTGAAATGGTGGCCAGCACTTTTTCCCAAAGGGGGAATACTGGCCGTTGGAACTGTTGAAGCTGCCAACCCCACCATAGATCTAATGATGAACCCCAAAACTGAGCTGTTGAAGACGTCTGAAGCATTCTCAGACTCCCATCAGAAGGGCACCGTAACCGAAAAGGCATTTGCTCCAAATATGGTTCCAGATATGGTCTCCAGGCAGGACTGCACACAGATCCCCACTGGATAGAGAGAACTGAAACTCAAGAGCTCATTGTGCTGTTATGGGAATGAAGTGACACTGCTTGTTCAACCTAATTATATGGTTCAGCGAAGAACAAGAGGAACTAGCATGAACACACAGTGACTCATCTATCTGTTCTGAGCCCTGCACCTTGCTTGCTTTGGTGCTCTCTTCCAGTTTCTCAAGAGTTGAGGGTGTTTGGGGTTGAAAAGGAGTAAAAGAGATGGCCAAGTAATAGTTGTAAAAGTGAACCTCATTAGAAGCAGGGCCCATATCTTTAAAAAGTGTTTTCCCATTGATGGAATTCATTTCTTGTGATGGTCCCTCCTTTACTATTCTTGCTTGCTTAACATATTGAAAGAATTTCATCCATTTAAATGAGTGAATCATGAAATTAACCATGTTGGTTAATTGGCAACTGTAGCCCCTTCTAAGGTGATTACTTTTGCTACATTTCAGATGGGTAAGTGCAGGGAGCTTTATTCAGGCTTATTGAGGATGAGTTTCTTTCATTGTGATGTTCTGAGCTGATTTTCAAAAATTATTAAGATTAGTAAGTATGAATGTATGTATCTTGTTGATATAGGGCAGGTCAGCTGGGCTTTTGCACAGAGTGTCACAGTTTGAAATCTAAAGGTGTCTGCGCTGGTGAATATGAGGCAAATAAACTGCAACACCTCCCAACCCTATTGTCAGGTAAGTTCTCCACAAGGTCAGGGCAAGCTCTCCCACTGCTTGGGAAGAAGGAGCAAAGTGCCCTGACAGACAATGATAAGGCATTCATGCCTTGTGCCTCAAGCCCAAGAAAGAAAACATTGTATTGGCAGCTGCATTGTGGGCAGCCCCATGTCCTGTAAGAAAGAAGAGAGCTTGCCAAGGAATACCAGAAGCCATTCTGTTTCCAGTACACTAACCATTCTGCTAACCATGCTAATTTTGCAAGGATTCACAATTCACAAGCTAATTTAGCTGCTCCTTGGTGTTAATTGTTGTGCTAACACTCTCTACAATGTCCTGGATTTTCATTTCCCACAGAAAAAAACCTATAAGAAAGGATGTGAAAATACGTGAGCTACATTTTGGTTGCATTCCTCAGAATCCCATGATCATTCTGGTCCTCTCCAAGTTCCCCAACTAAGTTTCAAGAATGTTTTTTTCAATCCCTCATGGAAGTTTGCATGTATTTTGATCCACATTTTCCTAGGTTCCTAGATTCCGCATTTTAATACCTGCTTCTTGATATACTGTATAAATGTTCTCAATTAAAGAAGGCATTTTTCAAATATCTCCATTTAGAGGGACATATTTATTCACATACATTAAAAAAAGAAAAGAAACAACTGGTGCTCATAATTTCCTACCAATAATTAAAAAAACAAAATGCATGTCCTTTTCTTAAAAGACTCACAGAGCAAAAATTAAACATACTATATTCTTTAAAAAATCTCAATCAATTCAATTTTCTTTTCCATGCTTAGACACAAGGTTAACATGCTTCTGTAATTCTTCCTCAACATTGAGCCTCGTGGCGCAGTGGTTAAACCACTGTACTGCAGCCAAAACTGTGCTCAAGACCTGGGTTCAATCCCAGTAGCTGACTCAGCCTTCTATCCTTCTGACATTGCTGGGGGGCCAATGTGTAGCCTGCATAATTAACTTGTAAACCGCCCAGAGAGTGCTTGAAGCGCTATGGGGCGGTATATACTAAGCAGCACGCTTTGCTTTATTTTGAAGCGATGTATTTATATCTCTTAACAGGGACAGGGATTCAGTGGGTAGAGCTGGAGTGGACAAGTTAGGAGGAGCTTTGGAAAGATGGCAACAAACTGTGAGGGGAGTGAGGATGGTTCAGCACGAGGAAAGCTTCCTGCATCTCAACTTTTCTGAGTCTCTCTGTCATAAGCTATTCAGGCAGTGTTTTTGCCAGCATAAGGAAAAGACATTAGATACAAATGACAGTACTGTTCCACGTGTGACATATAAAATAATCTCTTTATTATGTAGGTACAACATCATAAAAAACCACTGTAGCATAAACACAGATAAAAACATTGCAGCAGAATGGAGTTTCCAGCTGTATATGGCTGCAAAATGGAGTAAGAAAATGAATTATTCTGGCAAGTTCTAACTGTCCTGCAAAGAGACTGAAGCAATTTTATCTCCCAGCTTCTCGTGCATCTTCTCTAGTACTGTAAGCGTGCAGTTCCCAGTTCCAAAAGCAAAGCAGGATCCTGGAAGTTCCACAACAGAGTTCAGGAGGCAAGTCTACTTAAGCTTTCTAAGACTCAATGACAATCAGAATCTGTTGGGTTTTTTACAATAATCAGTAAGAAGGCCTTTTGCTAGGAGGCAACAAAATATTAGCAAGCAAAACAAACATTCTCATTCAATGTCACTGAGGAATGTTCTCAGAAAATGTAGGGAATATGAACATCCCGCCCCCAAAGTACATCTGTGATAACAACTGGCCTCTGAACGGAATGTAACTGGCACAGAAGAAATACCAGCCTCTTTTCAGGGCTTCACAAGATGCTGAGCTCCTAGACAGCACATTTTCTACCAAGCAATGGATTTCTTTCAGGCTTCATGCCTGATCCATCACATGTGCAAATGAAGCCTGTTTTTACGTTCTGATGAGCAGTCACCAAATGAATGAAGCTGATTTGCAAAATGCTGATGGAAGAAAAGCATGTGCTAAGACAGTGGTCCCCAACCTTGGGCTTCCAGATGTTCTTAGACTTCAGCTCCCAGAAATCCTGGCCAGCAGAGGTGGTGGTGAAAGCTTCTGGAGTTGTAGTACAAGAACATCTGGAGGCCCAAGGTTGGGGACCACTGTGCTAAGACAATCAGGCACTGGTTATTGGTCAGGGAACATGGCTTCCAGGAGCCAATAGTCCTGCCTAGTTTAAATCTACCACTTAGCCTCTTCAAAACTGCTTAGCATATCTCTTTCCTCCTCCCAATAATTGGCACTAGTGTAAGACCACACTGGTGATTGCTATTACCATGGTTTTTGGAAATGTATAGCTGATAGATTGAAAACCCATTTCAAATTACACTATGCATATATTTGTCTTGTATGTACAGTTCTTATAGCATGCTTGCTCACTTGCCTACTTCCTTCCTTCCTTCCTTCCTTCACGACACCAAGAGATTTCAGTCGTCATTTCAAAGACACCATGGTAAATTTTTAAAGACATTTTAATTTCTAATATAAAGATGATAGACCATAAGGATGCCCACTGCCTATAGGAAGACCATAGAAGGTTGCAAGTCTTATAGCATCATTTCACTTATTTCCCAGTGCCACACTCACACACGAAGTGTGGGATTTTAATCCAAATCTCCTGAGTCCTACTCTGACAATACACCACACTGAGTCCCAAGTGTTACAGCAGAAGTAAAATACAGTTGACTTCTGGCACCAGAAGTAAAACACAGTTGTCTTGTAGTCACTGATATGCTTTTGTTCTATGTAACTGCTATGTTTTCAGCCAGCACCAGCCAAGCCATTATATCTAAGTAACAGCCATGGCAGTCACACCACAAGAAAAAGGACCTGGATTCTTCAGAGTTTTCACTGGAAATAAACCACAAGCAAATTCACAATAAAGACAAACTTTGTCATGAAACACCTGCTGTAAATTATAGTGGAACTCTCTAAGAAGCATAAGATGACTAGTATGACTTATTATGTTGCTTAACTCAGCAGTTAATTTATCATGAGAACTTCATCTATAAATGTGAACAAAAGAAAGCAAATGAAGCAAAACTGCCTTATATTACTGGATAATCACAAGCTGTGAGCTAGAATATAGTCAGGGATTCTTCTTTTTTAAGGAAGGATGAAAGGAAGGAAATATTTAGAACTGCAAGTTTAGCTGCTGTCGGAGAAGGTGCCACAAGGTGATGAATGTATATGCTCACTTTGCACAGAGCACTTGAAAAGGTTAGAAGAAGCCTGCAGACACCATTTGTTTTTCCATCTTAAAGAAGCCTATTACAGTGGTGCCTCACTTAACAGGCACCCCATTTGATGACGAAATCACATACCGACGAAATTTTTGCGATCGCATTGCGATGTTTTAAATGGGGAAAAATCACTTTGCGATGATCAGTACCCTGTTTTGCTTACCGATCACCGCAAAGCGATGATTTTTTAACAGCTGATCGGTGGATCCAAAATGGCCGCCAGGTAAAAAAAATGGCCGCCCGCTGTTTTCTGGTACGGATTCCTCGCTTACCGGACAGCGAAAATGGCCACTGCATGGAGGATTTTCGCTTAAAGGTGAGTCTGAAGCCGATAGGAATGCATTGAAAGGGTTTCAATGCATTCCTATGGGCTTTTTAATATCGCATAGTGACGAAATCGCTTTGCAGCGATTTTTGCTGCACCGATTATCGTCACTATGCGAGGCACCACTGTATATAGTTTACCTGATGACTTAAAACCAATGTACCCTCTAATTTCAGCCTCACTGGGCTGGACTCTGCCTCTCTCACACGCGACTTTGCCCCTGTGTGCATGTGCAACTCCATGCCCCTCACGCAGGGTTCCATCACAACAAGAATAAAAGAGGCTGAAAACAATCTATGTGCAGAGGGAGGTAAAATTGTGCACACACAGGTGCAGACCTTAGAGGAAACCTTGCTTACAACCTATGGGTCAGGATGGTTTTCGTAAACATTCAGCATCATGCATGATACTACTTCTTGATCACAAGAATTTGCAAAAGCACATTTCTCTCTTTCCATTTGGAATTTTCTACAGTGTTGCTTGTCATGATTTTCAGCATTAAATGCTTTGAAATTCCTCTTTGGTGTTTCATAATTTGCATGCCCAAGTCTCAGCAGAACCAAGAATCTCAAGGGTTCAAGAAAACCAGAAAACACTGACATGGAAATAAAGCTGACATTATTTAGATCATTTGAGGCTAAGAAGCCTTACATCTAGATTCTTCATATATAATTCTAAATCTAATGTTTAGAGTACAATCACTGCCTTGGCCTATATGAACTATTAAGCAGGTTTGCAGGCTTAGCTATTGGAAGGCAGATATTTATAAGGTCATGGTCATTTTGAGACAGGTTGGAATGAAGAACCACCAATTCCCTAGACTGTGGGGAGGCATAAAAGGAGAACATCTGATCAAGCATCAACAGGATCAGAAAAACAATCATCCACAAGTTCTAGGGCTGCAGTGTCAACCATAACCTCTCGAAACTCTGTTTCTGTTCCAGTCTTTTCTTCTGTTTTGGTTTCTGATTTCCCCTCAGAGCCAGCAGTAGGATTCAGATCCATTTTAGGCTGCTGTTTAGAACTCCCACAGGTCTCAGAATCTATAAGAAAATGAGTTAGGAAAGTGCACACAATACATATATTTTACACAATCTTATTTCTCTGCCTTTGCTCAATTTTTCATGCATGAAAAATCCTCTTCATTTCAACACTAATTTCACAACAGCAATATTCTAACATTCTTACTTCCTGAATGGCTGCTTAGGCACTGGTTAAGGATCAGCCTTCATAGAGAATCTTCACAAAACCTCAAAATTTGAGATGGGCAAAGTGTCGCCTCCTCAGTAAACCCAAAATACTTTAAAAAAAACAAACCCTGAAAGTGTCACCTTTACCCTCTGGTACAGCTAACAGGTGGGGGCACACACAGAGACTGAAAGCTCAGCTCCCAGAAGGGAAGTTAGGCCTACAGTGTCTCAAGATGGTGGCTGAGGTGGAAGGCAAAAAGAGGCAACAGAACCAGGTAGGGAGATGACAAGGGGAGTGGGAAGGGGGCAGGGTGGGCTGCGGAGGTGGAGGGTACCAAACCAGGAAGTTTGCTAAATCATGAAAAAAGTTTGTGATTTGGTTTGGCTCAGGTTCATTGGTTTTGATGGACCCGAACCAACAAACCAGCAATTTTTAGCGGTACCAAACCAGGAAGTTTGCTAAATCATAAAAAAGGTTTGTGATTTGATTTGGCTCAGTTTCATTGGTTTTGATGAACCCGAACCAACAAACCAGCAATTTTTAGTGAGCTTCCTGGTTTGTTTTTCAGTTTGTGCCAATCTCTACTCAAAACTAATCTGCTTTAAGCTGCTCTCTGATGGCACCTACAGCATATATCTTGGTTCCATTGAAGGGTACTATGAAAGGAAGGTAATTTCTAAATGATATGAGAAGCAGCTACAAAAATAAAACCAAATTCTCTACCCACCCTTTTGTTATTTAAGTACCACTGGACCACTGTACGTACCAGGATTCGGAATACTGGCAGGAAGGGCACCTGTGGCTTCACAGTGTTCTCCGTTAGGTGGACTCTTTGGACCTTCACTGGAAATGGCAGACAGAGTGATCCCCTCATCTTTTTCATCCTCTGTTTTAAAAAAGCATGATGAAACTGATGGGAGCAAATATAGTTATTCTTCCCACCTTCCTTTCAATATGTTCAGACGTTTTAAAAAAGCATGATGAAACTGATGGGAGCAAATATGGTTATTCTTCCCACCTTCCTTTTAATATGTTCAGACATATTTTAGGGTATATTAACTTTATACCTGGCTTCTGCATGAAACACCTGAGACAGCCATCAATCTCCATAATTTTTATTGGCTGCTTCCGGGCTACGAAACCACCTTCTAAGGAAAACCAGTCTGGCCCCTTAAGCATGATGAAACTGATGGGAGCAAATATGGTTATTCTTCCCACCTTCCTTTTAATATGTTCAGACATATTTTAGGGTATATTAACTTTATACCTGGCTTCTGCATGAAACACCTGAGACAGCCATCAATCTCCATAATTTTTATTGGCTGCTTCCGGGCTACGAAACCACCTTCTAAGGAAAACCAGTCTGGCCCCTTACTTTTGCTCTTTCCACTGCAGGCAGGGACCTTACTGTTCAGGCAGACTTTGTGCAGCTGAATAATCCACTGGGGGAGGGGGCTTTAATGGGAAATGCTGTGTTTTCTTACTTTTTAACTTTACTTTTACTTTTTATTTTAAATTACTTAAATTTACTAGTTGTTTTAATATGATAGGCTGGGTGGATAGCTCAGTGATTTAGGTTTGTGGTTCTGTGCATTCCAGAAGAGCCAGCCTGTGTGGCCTTGGGCAAGCTGTGCAGTCCCAGAATCCCTGCAGAAGAAGGGAATGGTAAACCACTTCTGAGTGCAGTCCTCTCTACCTAGTGTATTCTAACCCTGAAAAGGGTTACTATACGTAAGAACTGACTTGACGGCGCACAATTATTATTATTTAATCTGATGGATTTAAGTGAGTTTTGTTTTAAAGCTGAACTGTAATTTTAGATAGATAAGTTTTTTAACCATTCTCTAGGTTGCCTTGCCTGCTTCTACTGAGAGAAAGGTGCAATGTAAAGCAAACACATATTCCATATATAATATCTTCGAGTATGTGAAGGTTTATGGAGCAAAAAAAAAAAAGTTCATTCTCTGCAAACTTTACACTCTAAGCTCAACCCAAAAGGGAGTGGGCATAATAAATATGAACAAAGAGGAATAGGGAAATCCAAGTTTGCATAAAGTGATTGCAAGCAGACACAATTTAATAAAACATCTAGCACTGATGGGCAGGATCTCCAGGTAACCTTTTGAAATAAGACCAACAGATCTAGATAGCCTATTGACTATCTGCTAAATGAATACACACACTTCAAGAACAGATGGCATTATGATGGTGTTATAGTGTTAAGCTTAACAAATTTAATTCATTACCAAAGCCTTCTCATAGGCCTCCTGCAAACAATGTGGGATGATAGTCATCATGTTTGTGGTGTCTGTAGGCAAGGTAGTTCATCATGATGAAACCTCTGGATCTCTGCTGATCCCAAAAGTCATGCTATGATACCATTTCTACGATACCAACAGAACTCTGTCAGGAGGTATGTAGAGGGTTTCAAAGAAATACCCAGTCAACTTTGTGAGACAGATGGGATGTGAATTATGTGGTGCTTTTGCTCAAACAGCAGCATATTTCAGAGACAAGCTTGGAATATGACCCGAGGACACTGAAATACACAGAATGATGGAATTTTATGAGAAAAATATTTTTTGCAGAAATTCAGCCAAGTGTAAAACCTGAAAGGCAAGGTCCAAGGGGACCCCTGCAAGTAAAGGCAAGAACTTTATCCTTGCTGATTGCAAACTGTAGCTAGTGCAGATACAGAATTTCAATTTTTGTCAAAATGTAGGACCTGTAAAGACAGGAGGAGCTTATGTTCTTTTTGGAACAGTCACATTAATAAAGTCGTGATGTACTCCTGTGCACAACACGAGCTGCATAAAATGTATGGGATTAGAGCATGTGACAGATGTAGAGCAATTTTTGAAATATACTTGAGTGTTCTAATAATTATCTTTTTGTTAAAAAAAATTACAACCCCTCAAAGCAGAGAGCCTGACTTCACAGGGAGGAAAATGCAGAAAGCCCCTTTCTAAAGACACCTCTCTTTTTGTTCTCTTTTTCTTTTCTTTTCTTACCATTTTCCATTGTCAGCAACACTCTGGAGATTTGTTTTGTAAAACAGATTAAAAAACGGAGTTTTTCTCAGAGGCGCAGAGTTTGTGATTTGTTTGTTTGTTTGTTTTAAGGCTAAGAAGTTATAAGGAAATTGAAGTAGAAAATATAAAGGAACATGAACTACTGGTTTGGCGGTTCATGCCAGTTTATTTATTAGTTTGATGCTTCAAAGCCCAGCCTCCTCTGGTGCGCATTTACTTGGAAGCCATGGTCCAACTTCCCTGACCTGTCTCTTCTGGGTACGGCCTCTGAGTGGACACCTGCCAAAGGAGGTGGGGCTTTGAAGTGCCAACCTGTGTTTGGCCAATAAACAAATTGGCATGAACCACCAAATTGATGGTTTGTGAAATTGTGCCCATCTCTTATAGGACACCTTTTAATTGTTAGTAAAGCAATTCTTTGTAATGGCACCACCTACCGGGCGATAAATAGAACTGTAAGCAAACAGAGGGGAAAAGGCTCTCTCTTATTTTCTGCATGGCTACTTAAATTGCAGACCCAAATGCTCTGGTGTGACTTCACTGTGAGTGAATGGGAGTGTGTTTGCATTTCCCTCACTGTGTAATTACATTCTCAGTAAAAGAAAACTCCTCCCAGAGTCCCTGTAGCTGAGCTCTGACAGTGTTTCAGCAGCTCAGCAGTATAAGCCTCAGTCACCTGGCTCCGTTCCTTCTTGGAGGACCGTCCCCAGAGAGTACAGCTTGGGGAGAGAAGTTTGGCTCTGTGGAGCCTCAACTGTAGGGTTCTGCAGGGCTCAATGATCTCCCCAGTGCTGTTTAATATCTATATGAGGCCACTCACCAGTCCAATATCAGAAGTTCAGAGAATGCAGAGCCGATACCAAAATGCCAAAGCCAAATCACAAACCATAAGCCGAGGTCAGGGTCCAAAGCCAAATCACAAACCATAAGCCGAGGTCAGGGTCCAAAGCCAAATCACAAACCATAAGCCGAGGTCAGGGTCCAAAGCCAAATCACAAACCATAAGCCGAGGTCAGGGTCCAAAGCCAAATCACAAACCATAAGCCGAGGTCAGGGTCCAAAGCCAAATCACAAACCATAAGCCGAGGTCAGGGTCCAAAGCCAAATCACAAACCATAAGCCGAGGTCAGGGTCCAAAGCCAAATCACACAACGTAGTCCAGGGTCAGAGTCCAAAGCCAAGGGTCCAGAGAACAAGGTTCAATGTAGTCAGGAGCATGGATGTGAGCTAGAGATTTGACTTGTTGCTTCCACGAGCTTCCCAGCTGTCTGGGAGCTGATTATATAGCAAAACAGTCATTGAACTGCTTGAGTCCTTTCATCCTGTCAAAACCCAGGAGTAGCTGACCTGATGTTTCTGCAGGCAGTATTCAAGCGATCTTCTGACCTTTGCGTCATAAGTCTTTGCCGAAGTCTAGCCCTCACCCTGGCTACAGGGGGAGGAGAATCTGGTGGCGATTCAGTTGTCTGTGCTTCTAATCACTCAGCATTTCCTCAGCTGTAGTTAACCCCTCAGGTTCTGGATCTTTGGCTGAACTCATGATACCTGGCCGCCTTGCATTGGCTGCCCGTTCGTTTCCACATTGATTTCAAAGTCTTAGTGATTACATATAAAGCCATAAATGGTTTAAGACCTTGATACCTGGCAAAATGCCTCCTCCCACCTAGATCTACTCGTAACACTCGTTCTAGCCAGGAGGGGCAGCTGAGGAGCCTAACGCCGAGGGAGGCCCAGAAGGAAAAAACAAGAAACTGGGCCTTCTCGGCAGTGGCTCCCCGTCTTTGGAATAATCTCCCCTCCAAGATCCGCTTGGCCCCTTTGCTGGGTATTTTCAAAAGCCGACTCAAAACCTGGCTATTTAGGCAGGCCTTCCCTCCAGGCACCACTTGATTTATCTTTTATCTCCATCTTGAATGATTGTTCACTGTTGTGAAATTGTTGTTATGTGTTAACTGTTTTTATTCTATTTGATGTGAGCTGCCCAGAGTAGACACTGTCCAGATGGGCGGGATACAAGTTCAATAAAATAAATAAATAAATAAAATTATTAGATGTTGATATTGGGTCTTTGTGGCTTGGCATATGTTGTTCCCTGGTAGGAGTATGTCTGTTTCTTGATCTTTGCTCTCTTCTCAGACTTAGTGCTGGGTTTCCCTTGCCTGGCTAATCTGTTTATTATGCAATTCTCTCCTACTGCCCCCACCACCACCAAAACAGGATGGTAGAATTGCACTGTGAATCACTGTGGAAAAATCAGGGGAATTAGTACTGACCTGCAGGCACGGGAACGAAATGATGCATGCTTTTCATGCAGCAGCAGGTGATCAGGGAGGCAAGGATGGCCAGAAGGAGGGCACCCCCTCCACATGCTGCCAGAATGTAGAGGAAGAGTGGGTGCTGCAGCAGATCCCCTGGTAGACAAAATGGTTTGATTTAAAACAACAACAGTGTAGACAAAATGGTTTGATTTAAAACAACAACAGTGTAGACAAAATGGTTTGATTTAAAACAACAACAGTGTAGACAAAATGGTTTGATTTAAAACAACAACAACAGTAGTGGATGCCATTACTTATTCTCCTAAACCAGAAGGGTCAGGTAAGATTTTATATCAAATTAATCTTTGCATTTCACAGGCAGCTTTGATAACATGCTACAAACGCTTCTAATGTACAATATATTGCTCTTCTCATTTGCCTAACACAGATTTCCACATCTATGATGTGATATCTCTTTGTTAATTAACACTGTAGGTAAAACACAACACAGGCAACATTTTAAAACACACTTTACTTTTTTCTCTTTTCTCTCTGTTACATGACATCATCATTCTGTTGTTTACTCTTTCTTGAGAAACCCAACATGGAGTTGAGTGCGCTACTTCTGCCTTGTTATCTTATCAATAGTTTTGTACCTAAACAAATGGCACTTATTTTGAAAACTAGCTCCCCAACTAAAGCTTTTCAATAGTACTTCCTTATGCTACTGCTGAAAACACCATGTTCCAGTTCAACTCTGCCTATATTTCAAATGGAAACAATGGTGAACACAAGCCCTCTATTGACAAAATCCGTTCGGTATATAACTGGTCTATATGAAACAAAGCAATTCTGTAGGTATTCCAGACCCAAAGATTCAAAGCAGGAGTGGGTGGTCCATGGCCATCTTTTCATACAACTCTTACCAAGCCTTCATTGCCCATTTGGGTAGGAGCTCAAACCTGTCTCAGCTCAAGCAGGGAGAGACAAGTGTATGGTTCTAAAGCTAATGCACAATACAGTGGGGTCTTGACTTAAGAACGGCCCGAGTTAAGAACATTTTGACTTACAAACCACTCTCATAGGAAAATATTGACTTGACTTACATACTTAGATTTGAGTTACAAACTGAAAAAAACCCATGTGAGAGGCAGGGAAAGTGCAAAATTTGAACTTTCAGTTAACTGTTGGCCAGTGAAAAGGGTGCCTGTCTGCTTCCTCACTCCTCTCAGCATTTAGAGAGTCGATTGGGAGACAGTCTTCAGACTGCCTGGTGCTGTACTGCTTGGACTGTATTTTCCCTGCCTTCCCTGAACCTTTCTTGACCTAAGAAAAAAAGAAACAAAATATCCCCCTCTAGTGGTCAAAGGCAGAATAGCAGCTTCCCATTAGTTTCTATGGACGGAAAAGAGCCGATACGGATCAAATGGTTCTCAATGCATTCCTGTGGGAAATGCAGATTTGACCTGAGAACTTTTTGACTTGAGATCCGCCTTCCAATACGGATTAAGTTCTCAAGTCAAGACCCCACTGTACTGCCATAAGAGCCAAAACACTGCAGCCAGATTATTAACAGCAGCTCATTACCAAGATCATGTAACCTTCCTGTTAACAGCAGCTCCACTGGCTGCCAATCTGTTTACAGGCACAATTTAAAGTGCTGGTTCTAACTTATAATGCTCTGAACAGCTTATGTATTTCAAAGACCATATCTCCCTTTATGAATCTGCTCAGGCCCATCACTCTCACAGATGCACTTGCTGGGGACACAGGAAAGGGCCTTCTCTGTTGCTGCTCCCAGACTTGGGAACTCCTTCCTATGGGAGGCCATGCAGGCCCCATCTTTGCTGTCCTTCCTCAAGGACTATCTAGGGGACAGTAAACAGGATGGTTTATATTTTGTTGCCTTTAAATCTTTTTTTGGGGGGGAAATGATTTTACCTAACATTTTTAACATAATGTTATTAGTTCTTCTTTAATATTTAAATAGTTTACTGTTTTTAGCTTTTGATATTGTGTTTTAATCATGTAAGCCACCTTGGGCTCTTTTTTAAGGGGAAAGGTGAGGTAAAATACTTCAAGTAAATAAATAATAAATAAGAGTCATGCTTTCAAAAGTCTTCTGTCCATGTACCGCCTCATTTTCTTAGAGCTGAGAGCCAATCTAACCCATACAGCTTGCATATTGGTTAAAGTTCATTAATTTTCTATACCTCTTGAGCTTTATTCTTGAGCAATCAGCACATACAATCAAGAAAACCTATGTTTAGCTCCCAGTAACGTACTACAAAACAAAGCAAACTAGTTATCGTATACAAATCAGATGTCTTTCAACAGTTAAGGAATTTCTGCTTCTTAAAATGCATTCTCTAGCCTTAGCCGTTAACACAGATCTGATAGCCTCTTTTGGATGCAGTTTCTGAGAACTTTTAAAAAGTGTCCTGCCTCACAAATGGCATGTTACAGTTATCCAAGCAGGATGTCATTAAGGCATATGTCACTGTAGCTAGATCAGATGTCCCCAGGAACTGACACACTGGCACTCTCTAGCTTCAGCGGTGCAAATGCATCTCTGATCATTGCCAAACATCGTCCAAACTGAGGACTGAGTCCAAGTGTACACCAAAGCAGTGAACCTGAATTTTCAGATGGAGTACAATCTCATTTGGTACAGGTTGGCTGGCTCTCTACAGTATCTGCTTTTCCACTGACCTGGAGCTATATAACTCCATTTTTCAGCAGTTAGAAACATAAATGGACAACACAGTTGTTCTGGGTTCTTATGTTAAGGCAAATTCACAGACAAAGTGGAGATGAAGGCAGGAGTTGTTAAAGCTGTTTGGCAGCACAGATGAGATGTACACATTTTTAAGTCTTTATTTCACATAGTGAACACATTGTTGGCTGATTGTTGCATCTGCTGCTGTATCTTGCTAGGTTTGCAAAGATTTAAAAGAACAGAAATAGCTCTCCGTTAACTGAGGGGATTGCACAGCAGTTATTGAACCATTAATATCAAAGCCATGCATGACTGCTTGCATTTAGCAGCCTGTGAGCAACCCATTCACTGCAACTTATTCAAAACATTGGGAGGTAATGAATAGCAAAGAAATTATATGGTCCAGGGCATAAACATTAAAAGCAAAATACATTGTTCACATTTTGAATGATATAACTGGTTCCCAGCTGTGCCAAGGAAAGGAAATGCTATTGCAAGTTGCAAATGTGTAATTATTTTGCCAGGACTGTCTAGACAAGAATTACAAGTTGGGGCCAATGAAGTGATTTAGCTTTGGAGCATTTGGTTTATCATATTGATGGCTGCTGTGCCCAGTTTGGTGCTAGAATGAGAAATACATAACATGGTTTCTGGTCCCAGTGAAATATGGTAAAAATATGTGTTTCTAGATTCCCCCCTCCCCGCCACCTTTCACCATTCTGTGTATAGCATTCACTATTTTCCATGGTTTTTGGCATCAGGACAAGTAGGGCTTGGAGCTATTCCAATGATGCGGAGTTCCTAGTGTGTACTGTTTCTGTACATCTGCTTTTTGGCATTCATGGGGGGGGGCTTGGAATTGATTCCCCACAGATACTGCATTCTAACTGTACTTGCACCTGTATTTTTGGTGGAATATGGTTCATCATTCAATCTCCGTGTTTGTGATAAACATATAAACATACTAGGAAGGATGGTCATGTGTTTGAGATCTAGACAGAAATGAGCTTGACCTTTCAAACTGCCTTCTGAACAAAAAGCTGCAGCTGTCCATTGAGAGCAGTTAGTTTGGAAGTGGAGTGGACTGCTAACAGTAGAGACAATGCAAAGCTTTTTGGAATTATTGGCAGCCATTATCAAAAGAAGCCAAAGTACTGAAAGCTCTGACCAGACAAAAGAGAAAATCTGGAAAGGAGCATGCTATGGGCAAACCCAAGACTCTCGTCTAAAAATATGCTCTGCTGAACAGAGTGGAATTTGCATCTGTGTAAGCATACATGGAACTACAGTGCAGGATTCATAGTATGTTTGTTTGTTTGTTTGGAACAGGATTGAATCTTGAACTCCCAGACCTCTTTTACAGTAAATCTTTGCTACATCTCTGTAGCTCGTTGTTTAGTTACATCATATTCACATGCACACTTGTTTTTGATGGAGCTTACTGCCAAGCAAGCATGTGTAGTGTATATACAGCTATGCAGTTATGTCTATTTCAATGCAGTAGAATCCAAGAGGAGCTCTGCCCAGAAGTTCCATTTCCCATTATATAAAAATGGAGGTGAGAGAGGAAAAAAAACATGGGTGGTGCATTTTCTTGTAAAATATTTTGAGGGGAATTTGGGAACGTTTAGGAAGCAGGAAAAAACATTGTGGGCTATATATGACCTATGGAACACATATTGTTTTCCCCTATAATATAGTTTACAACTGTGGCTACTTCTTTATTAGACATGTGATGTGGGACTGCCATTATCTCATTCATATGCATTTTATTGAGAGTCCTTATAATGCCATCCCCCCATAAGTATTCTTCCCATATTTCCTCAGTGCTTCCTAAATCTTTTTTTCTTAGCTCATAAAGTCTGACTTTTCTGAGAGAAAAAGAAAAATACCCCAGATTCCTTTAATGTTACTCTCCATCTTGTTCTTATCATGTAGTTCTGACCATGGTAGCAACTTATTGGGCAGATAAACCTCCCGCCTCCTAGCACACACCTACTATAATTTTGCAGTAGGTACTATTTTTAAAAAATGTATGGTTAGCATCAGAGCTTTAACTAGTAATTTTGGTGCCTGGAACAAACAGCATAAAATGCACAGTATTTTCAGATACTTTAATATAACTGACCAGTATCCTGTTAAACATGTATTTCACATGGAGCCCCAACTGTTGAAGTTGTTGCAGCGTTCTGATGTGCTAGTCACACACAGCCATGTACCTGCTAATATGACCAGACATATATCTAATCTCTATCTCTATCTCTATCTCTATCTCTATCTCTATCTCTATCTATATCTATATATAAAATTGTGTAGTGGTGAAAAAATGCTTTCTGTTTCTAATTGGATCACTTAGACTTTTTTTAACTACAAGTGACACCTCAAATGGATTTGCTCCTCTATTTCCCTGTCATCACCAACAATGTCACACCTGGTGGTGTGAATAAAAACCAGGGAAATTAATGTTGGAAGGAAAGGGCAACATCCCTAATTAGTGGGGAAAGTCAATGGAAATTCCATTTATGGTTTACAGTGAGAGAGCAATGATTTATTAGCACTGGGACCAAAAATGGGAAGTAGCCTTTGGACATTTCCAGGTGGAAGCCACCTCAAGTTTGCAATTAGAAAACAATGTAATTAGAAAGCACTTCATCTCTTTTTCCATCACAGATTTCTGTGAGGGGGGAAAAAGACAGAAAAAGCAATGGAAAACACTGAAAAGGTATGAAGGGATGATGCCATTGCTCCATATAATTCAATGAATGAGCTGATGGCATCATAAATGTTTGTCTGGAAATGTTCTCTACAGGGCCCCCTCATGACATTCTGATTTTGGAACCGAGAAAGAAGTGTTTAGAGTAGTTTCAAGTCAATTGTAAGGAAGGTCAGTTAGAAGTAAGTTCCATTGAACTCAGTGTGGCTTATTCCCCAGGAAAAGTGCATAGAGTGTGCTCTCTCAGTTTTGAGAATTTAAAATTCCCTGTATAAACACTGGATCTGAGGCTGGCTACTAGACCCACAAGCACCCATGCTGCTTCAGCTGATGGTATGCCAACAGTGGCAGCTGTATAAGTTGCTTCCTGAGGAGAGGGCAGAATAGCGCTTCATACATTCCACGTATAGAAATGACCTTGGCTAACAGATGAATTTGATTTCAGTGCTGGTGACAAGATGGCATTCGCCACCCGTGGGTGTCAAACTGTTTTCAGAGGGCTGCATGGTAGACCCAGCTCTGCCCTTCAACAGAGGAAAATGTCAGGTGGCCCTGCAAGACTGCATTATGGGAAGCTTGAAGAAGAAAAATTTAGGGAAATTATTTCGTATTGGTGGATTCATGTGAAGGATACAGAAAAAGGCAGATGTAAGTGTATACTTCAAAATAAACCTTTCAGCTCCCATAAGAAGATAAAATGTAGCTTACCTTCATTGCCATCATTACATGACAACTCAATGGAGGAGCTGTTACAGGCATTACTTCTATAGCAAACCAGCTTTCCATGGGTTCCTTTTTCCAAAATAATCCTCTTGCCACCATCCTTCTGACAAACCTCAGTATCATTCATCTTTCTTCCATTCAGAGTCCAGTGAACACTGTCATTGGGGTGTCCACCCACTTCACAGGAGACATCAGCTCTTCCATCAGAAAGACAGTGAATACGAACAACTAAAGGTGGTTCTAAGTGGTAAAATAACAACAACCAAATTTGTTGATAAAGAGTCAATATGACAGGTCAATTGTATATGGCTTCTGAGTGATGCAAAGAATTGTTGATCACAAGAATGAGAACTGTAGAACAATTGCAAGTCTTCTGCTTGTGAAAAGGTGTGAAATATGTTCATTGAACAGTTCTGAATTTTTAAAAAACTTATTAAATTTCATCTTCTAAAGTTGTATAATTAATCATCTACTCATAGCACATGGTGTGTTCCTATTACTCTACAGTCTTAAAATCAGGACACACTTACTGAATTATTATTTCTTCATTTGCATTTGCTATGTTTCTTATTTAATCTCCTATCACTTTTTCAGGTGGAAAGTCTTTTGACTACATAAATAGATTATAATATGTTTCTACTTTTCTTTGCTTCCTATGAAAGTGAAAACATTTTAATGGTCCTATCTTCCATACCAAAATTGTATCATGTTTTCTAAACTGATGCTCCAAACTGGAGAACTACATAAATTAACCCAGCATCTTTGTCTGAAATGTAAGACCAGACTGGGCAATTCGTTTTTATTTCCTATATGGAAAGCCCTGAAGTTGCCTGGAAGTTGAGCCATGGCAACTTCCAGATAACCTCACCTGGATGACTGAGAATCTTCACCAATGACTGAGGATTGTGTTATTCTTTAATTATGCTAACAGGAGCACCAAGCTACACAGATAGATGGGTCAAGATAGGGCTGTATTTCAGATGATACAAGGAAGAGGCACCATTAAGTTATATCCTACACCACTGGTTCCCAATGTTGGGTCCCAAGATATTATTGGACTACACAGCTCTAATAATTGTTGATGTGTGCTGCACTTATGCACAAGTAAGCCATAGTTTAGGGCATCAGTTTAGGTGGGGCTTGCATATACTGTACAAAACAAAACGTTTAAGGAACCTTGTTAGAATTGGGGATGTATTTCAGATTTGGAAATCATTGGGAACACAAAGTGAAAGCATTTTTTCATTTGCAAACTGATCCAAAGGGCAACAAGGAAGCCCAAAGTGATGGTCAAATAAAACCAGGATTCTCTGAGGTTCCAGATTTTTTTCCAGTGGGTTGAAAAGCTGAAATGGAGTGGTAGAGTTAAGGAGCACCTACTGGGGAAACAAAACTAATAATGTAACAGAAGAACCTGAAACTATAAAACAGAAAGAGATTGACCATTTCAAGCATTACTGAAAAGCCCAAGCTCTCCTGAAAGCCCCAATTATAATATCATCCCTTTTCTATTCATTCCCAGTCTCTATTCTTGCTTTTTTATGAGCTGATCTAAATACATGCAGAGCCACCATTTCACTTTACTACAGTGACCAAAAAATAAACAAGCTGTTCCTCAGTTAACTTACTGAGGAACCAAACCAATCTACATGTTTGAATGAAAATCTACACTCCCCATGTTCTACCAAACACCTATTTAAATGGAATTTGGTTAAAAGTGATGTTGGGAGTTGGTAAGAATGACCTTATTCTAATCAGTTTGTCAGGCAATGAATTTCTTTGGGATTATGCTTCTAGAATGCATATTCACAAAATTTATTTCCTGGTCTATGACCTCAAGTTTGAATTGAAGATGGAACACTCTTCTTTTCATAGATCATTTCAGATAGCCTAGATGACAAATCAGTTTCCTAACAGCCAAAATCTATGTATGGACAGAACTAAGGAAAGTTACTTTTTTGGACTACAACTTTCAGAATCCCCCAGTGGCCATGCTATCTAGGAGCTTCAGAAAACTATATGTTGTGATGTTATGTGTCATTAAGTTGAAACTGACTTACAGCATACCTAGTAAAGTTTTCAAGATAAGTGGGATATTTAAGCAATGGTTTTCCTTGTCCCTACTTCCCATGAGATTCCACAACCAAGCAGGGATTCAAACGCAGGTCTCCTGAGTCCTAGTCTTTATCCACTTTTATCTTGAGATCTATATGTAGCTCCCCTGAAGTAAATTTTCCAAGTTTGTGTGGCATGGACACCAAGAAAAAATACTGCTGAGCTTAAGGGAATTTGCCCTCCAAGAAAGTGTGATTGCCTTCTGAATTACTTCAGTGATACAAGGAGGCTATCCATTATCATGACTCCACACAAAGTAAAAAAATTATCAGTTCATTTCTGCGTGTTGTACAGCTGCTAAAACCAAAGAATATTTATCCATACAAAGTGAGAACTTTGGATTAAAAGCAGAATGAAGGCACCTTCACATGGCCATTTGGAAAGTTACTTGCACTTTATTATAGGCACTTTATTATAGGCAGAGCTAATTGTTGAAAATACCTGTTTGCATGTGGCTGAATATCAATTAGCCTTTCATCTTTATTGAAGAGCAGTGAGTTTAAACTTAATTTCAAGTACTGTAAATAGTTTGTGTATCATAGCTTTCAGGTGGATACATACTTGGGCCTAAGACCTCTTGAAAACAGTGGTACTTCCCTCTCACTTAGGCTCATGAAGTACTTTATACAGGAATACCATGCTCTAAGGTTTTGCCATTGGTGGTTCCAAAATTAGCATACTTACCACACACTCTAAGTAATAAGGTTTTGCTCTCATTTCCAACAGCAAGTGTGTATCTCCCTTCATCCTTGTCAGTTAAATTCTTCATCTCCAGGGTACCATTACTCAGGCACATCCGTTTCTCATAGTCACTGCAACAGTCCGTGCTTACGTTTATTAAGTGAGGACAGTCTTTTGTGACTGAAAAATCGGTTGTGTTTAGAATTTTCAGAGGAACAGAAATTGTGCTGCCAATGTCTCCAGCAATCCGGATCATGCCAGTACAAGTTTGGGCTGAAACAATAACAAAATATAGTTATTATTGCAAAATTAGAACTTTGTGGTGGTGTTAATTTTGACAAAATAGATAACAGTGTGATACCTAACAAAAAGATGAGAAACTTTACCTTGATGGAAAGGACTAAGGACCATCTATTTTCTAATTCTCCTCTTTGCTTATAACTACATAATTTGAATGAAAATCCAAAGAGGTATTGGAATAAATGGTGTTTTTGTGTGTGTGAGTGTGTGTGTGTGTGTATGTGTCTGTCTGTCTGTCTGTCTGTCTGTTTGTCTGTCTGTCTCTCTCTCTCTGTCTGTCTGTCTGTCTGTCTGTCTGTCTGTCTGTCTGTCTGTCTGTGTGCACACACACGGGCACACACACACATTGTAAAGTCGAAAATGTTAATTACTAAGGCTTCCATCTTTTGCACAGCCCGACATTTAACTGACTGGGAGAAAGTCCCACTGAATTCAGTGTGGTTACTGTATGGAATGTATACAGTTGCATGGTAATACTTTGCCCCTTTTATAATCCTATACACATCTACTCAGAAGTAAGAATGAAAACCTACATTGATAAATTAATGCAGATAATAAAATCACAGCTCTCAGATTTATATGAGCCTGTTCTCTGAAAGAATGCTCCCCAATCTGAGTCCGGCAAATCTGCTTATCCAGATTCCTGTCGGACGTCCAACCATAGCCTTCAGTTCAAGTAAAGCATTTTATACTTTTTAAAAGAGTAGACGAATAGTGACCACTGTGCAAAATGTAATGGATGTTATCTTTAATAGCCTTAAACTATCACGTGTATTAAAATACTGCACTGCATTTGTACCCCACCTCCCAGGTATTTTACTACAGGCATATGCAGTTGCTAATTCACAAATTCAAATGAATAAATAAATATAAATAAATAGGTCAACAGTTTCAGGAAAGAGGAATTGTTCAATAGTTATGGACCTCACAGACACATAATAATAATATTGCATATACAGTAATGAAATCATCTCTATATATGTTGGAGTGGTGTTTGCAAAAACAAATTAATTTAGGATAGTAACTGGTCATTCTCCTTGAACACATGATTAGATATACAAATGGAGTACCATTTTCAAAAATAATGTAAAACAGGACCAGATGTTGAGACCCACTGGTAACATTGGTATATGGGACATAGCAACCTAAATGATTTGGGATTCTTTGTCTAGCTTTCTAAATTATTTGTTCCAGGTCACATTGTAAAACAAGACAAGTTTCCCGGAATCATTATCACCCAGCCTTCCTTTCTGACCACTTTATAGACATGCAAAGCTTCCAACCTTCTAACCATTCTTACTTCTCTAGCATTTACAAATGCAGTACATCAAGAGGACATAGTTACAATTAATTTACAAGAAAATCTGTCCTACTTCAGACTGTCGCTTTTCATGCTTTGGTGACTATGCCACCAATATTTCCATGAGTCTTCTTACATGATTTTCAAAAGGAAGGGGTGGGGGTAAATCTGAATGACATGATCACTTCTGCTCCTTTAGCCAAAGCTATGCCAATTTTATAAAGAAATGTCCCACTTACCATCAAGAATGGTCAGAATCACCAGCATGAATGTCAAGGGAAAAGAAAGACTGAAATCCATTTTAAACATCTTCTTGCATCGTGTGCTGAAAATAAAATCTGGCTTTGCTGTTAAACCAATATACAACTGAGGAAATGATGTCAGAAGCAGGTACAAGAAAAAAAGAAAAGAAGAAGAACATAGAGTGGAAAGATGCAAGAGTAATGTAGATTCAAAATAGAGCGGAAGGGTATTTGGTTGACTGATTTCATCCTGTAGCCACATCATCTTGATGATCTATTTCTATGGCCCTGTGTGTGGGAATTGGGGTGTGCAAGAACAGGACTCAGGAAAAAATGATGAAATAATGGTCTAAGCAACACCATCTTTAGCCAACCCATTAGAGCTCAGAACTATCCAAAGTATATCTTGATTCGCTGCCAGTTTTCTCTGTTCATTGAAGCCTTTCATTCTTGGGCCCATTCTATGGTATAACATGGAGTGCAAAATGTAAGGCAATGTAAAAGCTGTCATCTAGTTAAAGATGGTCATAATTTAATAACACTGAAAGCAAAACCAGCAAGGTAACAAATCATCCTATGTCACTTAACTGTGCTGACAGGAATGGCATTAGTTAGATGTAACTGTTTTGAGTAGATTGAAACCAAAAGCTAAAAAATAAGTTTTTAAAAAATCTGTTGTGATATACTGTAAAATACCTGTGCATGTTTCTGTGTATATAAGCTCTGCTTCTATATTATCAGTGTTAATGAGAGTAGAAAGCATTCTCTAGCATTAGAAAAAGAACTGCTGGGTAATCACCAGAGCATGCCAATGGAAAACATCAAGTCATTTACAGCCTCATATTAATCCAAAACAATGCTCACACAACCTGACCAAAATGACATGGAAGCTGATAACTGATCTGTAGTTGGCTGCATGCAGTTTTTCACTGCAGCTGGCTAGAACAATTACAATATACAGTATTCACATTTGATAGAACATGATGCCTGAAAAAATTGTATAGTCAATACCTGGAGAATCCACACAAAATAAACATTGTTGCAGAGAAGAGGAACAATTTTATGTGGTGCGATGAAGCTTGGAACATCTCCTTTCTCCTGCAGAGTCGGGCCCATTAGGGCATGTGAAGCACTATCACCCTTCTGCCAGCCCACTCCAGCCTATTACCCTGGCCTCCATCTCCCATTGGATGCTGTTATTTACAGGAAACTAAAAACAATGTGCATGATCCACTACTGTCTCTTTCCTTCCTCCCCTTAGAGCAGTGGTGCTCAACCTTGGGCAACCTAGATGTTCTTGGACTGAAACTGCTAGCAACCCCAGCCAGCACATATATTGGGGAAGGCTTCTGGGAGACATATGGGGAGAATTTGTTGAGCTTGTACTAAAAAGGGAGAAGGGGCCACCCCCTTTGCAACAGTTATTACAATTTTGGAAGTGAAAGGGGTTTCCACGAAGTAAAAGTTTGCCACTCCCAGCTAGCCCCAGTGGGGAGGGTGGAGAATTATGTTTAGTAGATGTTTGTGAATTGCTTATTAGATATTTGTATCATTTTGATTGTTAAAGAAGAAGAAGAAAGAAAAAAGGAACAAATATTAAAAAAAGAAAAAAGACAATTGCCCATCTACATGTTACAGACTTTCATGAATCCTCCCTATTCTGCTATTGGCTCCTTTGCCAGAGCCATAACTATATCCAGGGCACTATTGGCTCCTTTGCCAGAGCCATAACTAGCCATTTTGGATCCAGGGCAATATTGAGCACTCTGTCCTGATTCGCAGAATGAGCTCCCTGAAGAAAAAAGGAAGTAAATGCCACACATCTCCCCCAAAAGGAAAGTTTATGTTATCAAAAATGGGGGGAAGTGTTGGTGTTTGTTTCCATATCATTCATTAGAGCCACTTCTAGATATAGATGTCCCAGTTCTCCCATCCAAATTATGGCTGTGTTCTTTGCTTTCTTTTTCCCAGTGTCTTCCTTTGTCCTTCCCCACCATGCTATTCTCTTGCCTCACTTATTTCCTCATCAGAATCTTTAAATTCCAGAGTTCAAAGGGATCCTAAGAGCCACCTCAGGAATCTCTTTCCAATGCAGGGATCTGCAGCTAAATTTTCCCTGGCAGATGGCCATTCAACTCATGTTTTTTAAAGAATGATTCCCTCTATTTCTTCCCACACCTCTTCATCTTAGCCCTTTCCTTTGAAATCTTTGTCACTCTGTTAAGTGTCGCATGTTCATTTGTTGTCTGTCTTTCTGACTCTGTTAAGTGTCGCATGTTCATTTGTTCTGTCCGTCTTTCTGTCTCTTTCCCTCTTTCTTTCCCTTCATATTTCTTCTCTCTTAATTAAGATGCAGATCCTCTTAATAGAGGATTGTGTAGCTTCAGCACTGAAGTATGTAGAAAAAATAGTGAATGTACAGTAGTAGCAGAAATAGCAATTGAAACAAGAGCAACAACTATAGAAAATGTTTTCACACCTCAGTGAACCAGATCTTTGGCCAATTTAAATCAATAAAAACCACTACTATTGCTCTGCTGCAGTGTAATATAGTAAATAGGGATGGGCACGAACTGCCAAACTGGTGGTTTGTGCTGGTTTGTTTTTCAGCCAAGCAGGTGTTTGGAGCTTCTCAGGCCTACCTCCTCCATTAAGTGCCCATTTAGAAGCAGTGTCCAGCTTCCCTGCCCTGTTGCTTCCAGGTGCTGCCTCTGAGTGTGTGCCCGCTGGAGGAGGTGGGGCTGGCAAGCACCGAATACCTGTTTGGCCAATAAACAAACCAGTAGTCAGATCAGCCGACCCTCCACTCTAAAACTGGTGCTATTGAATGCCAGGTCTGTATCGAATAAATTCCAGATTATTTATGACCTTATACTGGAGGAGGATGCAGACCCGACGTCCATAACCGAAACATGGATGGGGGGAGAGGGGCGTGTCCCCCCCCACTTACCTGTCCTCCTGGTTATGCTGTCTCTTTACTGTACATAAATTGCCCTTGCAAATATTCAGCTGGTGATTTACACAAACCTTGGCTGGGTAGATTGTGGTAGTGGATAGTGTACAATGTGCAGTACAAGAATTTCCTCTACCCCTCCTGTCAAGCAATTGTGCAAAAATTTGCCAAGCCAGCTTCAGAAGCAGAGTTTTAGTGGATGTTCCCCAAAACAACATTATTAAACCTCATTTTAAAAAATCTATAGTCTGATTGAAGGTCAGGATAATTTTAACTTGCCTCTACCACACACACACACACTATAAGGGAGGAGGGAACCTTAACTGTGATCTAAGGTGTGACAAAAATAGCCTTCTGTGAGAAAGGCAGTGATCTGAATCTTCAGATATCTGCAGGGCAATGGAGAGAAGAAAAAAGACATTTGCAATTAGGAAGTCACCCTTGGGTGCACTTGTCCTTTATGTTTCAGACTAGTATCCAAAAACTGCAACCTCTATGTTAACAGGCTATTTCCTCCATCTGAAGTAAAAGTGTGAGAACAGAAACATAAGACTATGTTAATATCATGAATAACTATGGAAGGAAATGTGGCTTCCTCCCTTCCCCACCATAATATATGAATAACTATGGAAGGAAATGTGGCTTCTCTCCTTTCCCCACCATAATATTTAGGTTACCAGTTACTTACTGTACATTTTCAGAATGTAACAAATGATAAATAATGTGAAATAGCCATTTAGCCACTTTACATGTGCGAATCACAGACAATGAGCTACAACACCATGTCAGTATAGCTACGACCCACCCTGGCTTTAGAGATTATGGTCAGGCATTTTTACCTGCTAGCTATTTGGTTGCCATGCTATTTGGTTGCTACATGGTTGGCCATGTTCTGTTGTATTGCTCCTATACTGGTATCCATGATACTTTTATTGGTCCAATTTTGCAATGCATCCCCGGTAGAGATGATGAATACTATACATGCTATCTGCTGGCAGACCAATGTCCATCAGTAATGTTTAAAGTGGCCAGCTTCTGTGCAGGGGCACTAGTCTGCAGGCGAGAAATGGTGTCTTAATCCTATAGATATATACATGTATGTACCCATATATGAATATGTATGAACTGGGGGTAGGGATATACTCCTAAGATTTATTTACGGATTTTGTTCCCCTAAGAGTCTCCTGCACATAATGTATATTATAGTTGTATTGATTGTTTATTCTTGTGCGGTTGTTCTGTGTTATTCACATCTGATCTGTTGATCGTAATAAAGTATTCATTCATACATGTGTTTAAAGTTCATAATTGTCCCACTTTCCCCTTCTGACTTCTTTAAGCAGGTAGATATGTTCTGTAAACTTTCCTGTCTTTTCTGGTTGTTTTTACTCATGATTATATCTTATTCTGTTCATAGTTCCTTGCATGCCATCCAGTAGGTGGTAGGTGGTTGAGGGGAGAGTGAAGGACTGTCATATCAGATGACCTGCCTGCTGGGGAAAACACAGGATGGTAGAAAAGTGGGTTCCACGTGGGCACAAAAATGTGGCATGGGCCCTTTGACACCAGCAAATTAAGTGGATGTGACCTACCTCCCAAAACATTCCTCCTAAAGAAATTTAGCCTGCCTCCTAAAGCCTTCATTCACATACCCCACAAGAGGACCCCCATAATAAGAGATATGAACAGAAAGGCCACATTCTCTCTAAACTGGGTCTAGCCCAATGCCTCAATCCACCCACCAGAGTAGTCACACAGTGACTAAAGGCTCATGGATCTGTAACTACTCAATAAAGTTGTGACAACGCTGCTATAGTTTAGATACAATGACTGAAATTCTTTTGCCTTTTGCATTAGTGTAGGCCAGTGATGGCGAACCTTTTTGAGCCCGAGTGCCCAAACTGCCAACACAAAACCAACTTATTTATTTCAAAGTGCCAACACTGCAATTAAACCTGAATACTGAAGTTTTTGTTTAGAAAAAACAACTGCCCTTGCACTACAAGGGTAAAATGCTTGTGTTTTTTAATGGGAGGTATTAACAGAGAAATACTTACCGGTCCTCCAATCCCCCATTGGGCTAGACCAGTAATGGTGTCCATTGCACCCCTTTGCTGGACCACTGCACCAGCACAGGGGAGGGCTGAAATCCGGGATTGGAGGATGGGTAAGTATTTCTTGATGGTAACATATGGCTCATGTGCCCACAGAGAGGGCTCTGCTTGCCAGCTGTGGCACACATGCCATAGGTTCACCATCGTTGGTGTAGGTAGGCCCATTGAATCAGCAGGGATTTGCTGCATCAACTCCTCTGTAGGTTCCATTGATTCAAACAGGCCTACTCTAGTTGTGGCTTACTACACTAAAGGACGTTACAACTAAAGTTAACCTATTTGAATCAATGAGTTGACTCACTAAATTCGGTGGACCTACTCTAGTGCTACTTACTATTCTGAGCAACAGGATTTCAGCCACATCCTCATAATCCCATAAGTAACCTCATAGGGCTACCTAGTGCAGTGTAGTGTAGAGAATAAAGGAGTAGGATACAGAAGAATCCTCACTCAGTCACAGAAACTCAGGAGATGTGGGGTGAAACTATCACAGAAGCAGAAAGAGGAGAAGGAGGAGCAGGGCATTGACACAGCACAATAGGGGAAGAAAAGGGGGCAGGTTTTCGTTACTGACTCAAATGACAACAGGATGTCCATGTGGTTACTTGGCTGGCTCCACCTTGTTCCCCTTTATAGACATTCTGAGTATTCTTCTGCAAACTACCCTCCTACAAGTTGTGAAACACCTGGGTCTAAAGACAAGAAAGAAAAAGGGCAATGCCGAGGCATTATACTAGTTATACTGTCAAAAATCCCCCTCTCCATACTGCATCTAAAAATAATTAAATAAATGCAGACAACAGCTGCTACAACCTGGTGACCTCACACAAAGAATCTACCAAGTACCTCAGCAACTGAAGGAGCAGTTTTGGGCCTCAGATGGGATGTAAAGCTCTCAGTCTTCTCCTTTGGTTCTGACTCAAGTGTTTTCCTTATAAAATACTATTATGTTCAATTTCCTTTCCCTGCCTTTAATCACATCACATTTTTCTTACCTTAACTTACCAGACTTAACACAAAGGATGTGTGGGATGCTGTTTCACACCACCAGCTTTTTGCTGTGTCCTGGGGTCACCTTGAAGACTCATGAATTTCTCTTCTTTAATGTTTTAGTATGTGGCCAGATACAGCTCACATCCCAAACACCAACTTCTGTTAGAGTTCATGACACCTCTTGTGTTCTACATTATCACTGTCACATTTCTGGAGGTCTCCTGTATGTAGTCTTTTAAATACTAGTTAATGTGGTGCTAAGGTTGAAAGTGTCCAAAAGAATACAAAGGTGTGCTACATACATGCATTGTGCTCATATGCCATTATGCCTCCTATCTGCTAAAACAGTAATATAATAAGATGTGCCTTATGTCTGAGGGGTGGCTATTCCACCAGCTGTGCACTAGTAAGGAGTAAGCTCTACTACTACAAGGTGTGGAACACCTGGATCTAAAGACAATCACAATGTCTGTTTGAGCAGATTGTGTGTGTGTGTGTGTGTGTGTGTGTGTGTGTGTGTGTTGCATTGCACAGGCTATTTCACTTTGTGTGTCCCTAGATGCACACCTCTGAGAGGGAAAAAAACAAATTCAAAAGAATGGAAAGTTATAGAATAAATAGCAGTGCTCTTGCAACATTCTTGACTTTGGTTCTCCTGATCCCTCTCTGTTGGTGATATTTGCTGGGGATTATGAGTGTTGCTGGATACCAGTAGAGCACGAACTTAGGAAAGGCTTAGCTAAAGCTAAAGTAGGTTAGTCCTACACCCATCATCTATTACAAAATTCCAGACTGCCATTTATCTCACTTGTGAATAAAATGTAAAGAAGCAGAGTCCCAAGAACCAGAAAGCTTTTGTGATTCACAGAGTTGTAAGAGCTAGTGTAGTATTTATACAGTGGCCCTAGCGACTGTAAAGTTACGGCTGATGCAAAGTTTTCTTATGATCTCTTCCACAAAAGGGTATAGTAGAGGATGTTGCAGTTCTGCCTCTCAGTCCTGCCACCTTCTGAGGGGAGGGAAGTCCTTTCGTGTTTAATGGGCTTAGTACTAGGTAAATGGAAGTTTTTCCTCCTCACGTTTCGATCAAGGAGAAGGGTGGTGCGGTGGTCTGAATTTTTTAACTTTGGGGTGTGTTGGTCCAGCTATGGCATTTTGCTTCCAACCAAAGATTTTATCTGTGAGGAACAAGACTTCTCATCTCAACAGCGGTAGAACAGGCCTGGAAAGGCTCTCATTTAGATCCTTACTTATGGCATGACCTTGGATTGATGTGACAAAATCACTATAGCAAAGGCAATAAATAATCATAGAAAATAAATAAATGTATCAAAGCAGGCATACTATTTATAGAATTACTATATGGTGTACCGAGATTTTATTTTTGTCACTATAATTTTTTTACTATAAAGAGAAATCAAAGAAACATGGATCCTGACCATGAAAATATTTGAGAAAACATTAAAAAGGCTTCCAATGTGCTATGGATTGGAATTAAATAAAATGCCTTGGGATAAACTGCTTTAAATGGGAAATGTCCTTAGGAAGAACAAGATAAGCAATGAAGATTACTGGCTGAAAGACAAAAAGCACAATCTTTTAGCATTATGATTCAAAGAGACTAAGAAAAGGCACAAACTGGATTTCCAGGGGAGTTGGAAAAGAAAGCAAAGTTAATTCAACAAATCTAACTTTTTTATCTAATACACAGTTGACAGACCAGATGGATGCTTTTACAGTCAAGATTGCTATTTATACAATCAATAAAATACAGTTTCATACATATCATGCAAATATAGTATTGTTCAAGATCTTAGCTCAAGATCATAGCAAATGATTCCAAAACACTTGTAGATACTATAGGTTAATTATTTAAGCAAGGGAATGTGAGTTTAGCTGTTCTTCAGACAGAAAGGACAATAAAAGGCAGCAATACAGAATTATATTTCCAACTTTAGCAAAAATAACTAACTTACGAAGTCAACAACTTCTTAGTTAAAAAAAGAAAATGCATAATATGACTCAAGCTGTCTAATCAGTCAGCAAAGCAACAACCACTTGTGAAAATGGTAGTCCTCAGCTATGCTACTGCTTGTTTTCATTACAGAGGAAATTAAAAGTATTTACTCAGATACTTTTTTGTATTCAAAGACTAATCCAGATGTCTTTGCCAAATATTATTTAACTCATACCAAACAGAAGATAGGAATACAGAAAGTGGTCTTATGCTGAATCATTCATCCAGCAGAGCATTATCTGTTGTGGCTGGTAGCAACACCTCTGCAGGGTTTGAGTCAGGATTCCTCCCCTCCAAGTACTAATGAAGTCTGACCTTGACCCTGTCTGGCATCTTTATATCAGGCAAGATTGCATGTTCGGGTTGGCATGGTGATCTACCATATTATTACCTAGATTACTGAGGTTCTGAACAAATTGCGCCTTCCAACAAGATGTGACACTCCATTCCATTCCTCATGATGGTTTCTCCCCATTCCTCACCAGCAGCCTCTCCTGTACTATTTAAACACCGAAATGACATGTCAGGAAAACACAAACTGTTCCAGTCTACAGTCCATTTTCAACCATTTAAGAATTAACTCCATCAGCACATGAGCATGACAAACCTCTTAAAATATTCAGGCATGCACATTTAAAGGTACAGTACTTTAAAGACAAGCTACATCCCACCCATGGCACATGCAGAGATCTAACTTATTCAGACTTAGATTAAGGGGGCTAGAAGCTAAAGAACACAAGCTGAGCACAGATTGAATAATTTTAGCAAGTCATATCCAAAAGGACAGATAATCAAGGACAAGCACACAAAAAATAAAGACAGGTGGGTAAATAAGGACAGCTTGTGCACATGCAATATAGAGCACATGGGTCTTTTACTTTTAATTCTCAGAAATAGGGTACAATTGCATCACAGAAGAAACTACTAAATTCTATTTAGATTACAGCTCCTATGCTGGTAAATATGTGAAAATGTATTGAAATAACAGCTTCTCAACACAGGGAATAGGTAAAATGGCCTTTTTAAAATGAAGGCTAATATGGAAATTAGAAATCATAATACTACAGAAACATGTTTGGAAAGCCTTCATCTAACTGCTGAATTTACTGCATTCCTATGGTTTGACACCAGCATAAAGTATATGATTCCATTTCAAGTGATTGTGTATTTTCATTGGCTGCACTCCTGTAGCTTATCACACTGTGGTAAATGACACTAAAGTAGGGCCACTGAATGAGAGGGGCTTTGGTGAATCAATTCCTGTGCAGATTCAATGTAGCAAGTCACAACTAGAAGAGGCCCATTTGAATCAATGGAACTTACAGAGAAATTGATTCACAAAATTTGCACTGATTCAATAGGTCTAGTTTAGTGTGACATATTATGCTACGTAACAGGATTTCAGTTATTGTCTCCTTTTGCATCACACCAGGTAGGTAGGAGACATCATGTTTGTTCCTTCATTTTGCCATAAAACCACCCCACAAAATCAAGTTCACAGGATATCTGGAAGTTGAGTCCTGGCAACTGGACTTCTTATTAGGTTGAAACATTTTGCTGCTCATCCAAGTAGCTTCTTCACTCTGACTTGGATGAGTAGCGAAACATTTCAACCTAATAAGAAAGAAATTGAGTTGCCATGACTCAACTTCTAGATAACCTCACCTGGAAGACCTGGATGACTGACAATCATATTCACATAAAGTTTGCAGGAGTTGGAAAAATATCGCTATCACTATTGTCCCAGAAGCAGAGGTCTGATTTTTCAGCAGAATACCTGTCAGTTCCTCATATCCCCACATAAGCATTGCAGCAACAGATTTATTTTTCTGGATACTGGAAGGGGAAATATCACAAAATGCAGCTGTTTCACGTGATATAGCATGTGTATATATTCCAAATGGAACCCAACAAACATGCTGTTGCCAACACTCCAGTTTCCACTTCGCCTCTAAAAACCTGGTTTGTATAAGGTTCTGTAGAGATGTAACATAACATCAGAATCCCATACATTTCTTAGTTTCCTTCTCTAGAAATGGCATTCCCAGACTTCAGTTTCCAAGATGTTTTTTCAGGGGTGAAGATGGTGGCAGCCATGATGGTTAAACACATGTAATAAAACCAATGTGTTTGTAATGTAGATATAACCTTTGATTCTTAAACCAGCAGTTCTGCTCCATCTGCCTCCTAGCTTTTAGTCAAAAGCCCAGATAAAAACTCAAATATACTCAAGCAGCTCTCACAACTAAGTTGATACAAACTGAAAATAGGGTTTTCCTGTCTGTAATATGCCGTAATTATATTCTTAGCTTGATTTTGGTTTCCAGCTTACCTTGAAAAGTGGAAATATTTAAAGATGTAGGGTTCTTAGTAATACAAGGAGCTGCTGCTGCTGCTGTGGTCTCTTCCTCATTTCTACTCATAGGCCACTGGCCTTCCGCAGCGGTGTAGAGTTCATGCTGTGCTGGACCTTCAATGTCTGTGCAGCAAGCAACAAACAGGCATGTAAATGCTGGTAACATAGGACATTAAGAATGTATTGTGGACATTGTAAGAAAATATTTTTAAAAAATGATTTGATATAGTTACAGACATACAAATTTTTGTTCACCATTTTGAAGCCCTGACTTGGGCCTTGACCGGGTTTTTCATAATATTGTTGTTACACAAATATTCTGAAAGCACAATCTTATCATTTACTTATTTAATTTATATCACATTTTCTTATGAGCTCAAGGCAGAATACATGATTCTTTTCCTCTCCATTTTTATGTTTGAGTTTTATTTGCAACGTTGCATGCTGTCTGTAGTTTGTGTGACTGGGAAGAACAACAACCAACTGTTCCTTCCAGGCTTTGATTTCAGGACATGCCTCTTTGTTGAGTGCTTTTTCCCTCTCTTTAGTCTGTTCAAAGCAGAGTTTATTTGTTTGCTTTTATCTCTTTAGCTGGTTGCTACAAATTTGTTAAGTAAAGAAAGTAGTATACCTATGTGTGTAATTTCCAGAAACTGTCAGTAAAGAAATGTTTTTACTATTTCTATTAAAAATATCTCAGAGTGAGTTATTGAGACATTAAGTGCCAGTTAATGAGAAATGGCTGGACTGTGGAATCTGTAGGCATTCTCCTCTGTGAATCTCTATATTTCTACTACATAGCAAAACGAATTATACCAGAAATTCAAAGCTCTGCAACATTTTATTCCTAAAACAACTATTTCTAAATGGCCAGACATCTTTACTCTGAAGTAAGGGTTACTCAATGGCAGCTACTTTGATGTAAGTAGCCATCTCTGAAGCCTGAAAAGATTTAAGAGGTCTTTTTGGCTTAAATAGCAAGTTCATATCTTGTTTACTTTTGTGGAAGAGAATTAAGAGTTTAAGAAGAACTATGTTAGATAACACTAAAGGCCTCTCTAGTCCAACATCCTTTTTCTCACAACAGCCAATCAGATTACTCTGTGAAGACCACATGCAAGACATAAGGGCAACATCTGCGTTACTGTGTTCCTCAAGCAAACCATCTCTCATTCTTCTTGTTATTATTCCCCTCTGTTCTTGCTAGGGGCTGAATGTCATCATGCTTTCCTGGTCTGAAATGTGGGTCTAAACAAAGATGTTATTCAGTCTCAAAACCAAGTTCAAAACTAATTAGCTATTCTCCATCCTGCATTTATTTTCCTGTTTACCTTCATCAGCTGTAGCAATCTGTGCTTTTGTTTCTTTTCAAATGATTGAAGTACAGTATTCTATCTGTATTTTATGTGTTTTAATGTGTTTTATGATTTCGCTATCATTTTTCCTTCTTATTTTGTTGGTTACTCTCTTAATCCAAGAGGACTGATCAATAGATCACTAGAAATAACATATATCCACCCTGACTTGTACCACTGATAGCCTTCAGATCGAAGCTATGAATCATGACTATGATTGCCCTGTTGGGAGAAAAAGAGTGCTATGGGCAAAGAACATGACCAGCAGTGGATCCTGTAAATTGACTCCTTTCTGAAGAACAATAGATTGAAAAAAAGTAGCAGCAAAATGCATAAAGAACAGGACTTTTAAATGTATAGAATATGACAGCAGCAAATGTTTGTGAGACCATTAAATGTCAAGACTAGGTATGACCGGAGAGACACATGAATTAGTTATTTAGGCATCCTAACTAACAATAATTAATTACTGTTAATTATAACTACTGTTAACTATAACTACAGTTAATTCTAATTAACAAAATTACTGTTGTCATTCTGAGGCAACCCAAAATAACTAATTACCATTATAGCTACAAGTTTTAAAATAACCCCTTATTTATTAGGTTCTCAAAAGTAACTAAAGAACAACCTGAACTGGCAAAAATGTTCAATGCCAGCTGAGCCAACAACAAAGCCACCAGAAGCTTTGATGAACCAAAATCCTTCCCAGCATAGGATTTTTGAAATTATTTAGGATTTCCCTCATTCTAGCCTAAATTTGTGACAGCACTGTGGCTGTGTCCCTGGGCTAGAGAAAGTTGGATCTGATGTAACCTTGCTGCTTTTCTCCAGCCCTACTCTACTTGATTTCAGTTCTTCTGCTAGCAGATCTTAGCTGGCAGAGCAGTCTCCCCAGCAAATTGCTCTGTTGGCAGATCTCTTGGGTTCAGACAGCAGCAGCGGATTTCACAATAGCAGAAGGAGATTTCTGCAGGCAAAGTAGGCTTCTGCCTAATCCTAGCTGGCAGATCTTTAATTTAGGATTGGGCTGCCTGGTTGCACACTTACATTACAGTCGCACTGAAGTAAAAATGGGAAATAAATTGACAAAGTTACAGTTATACAACACAGAAGTTACACTGTAACTGTAATATTGTGGGGGTGCCATTCCTAAGGTTGCTAAGCCACATGGGTGTTGTAGTGTAGAGAAAACTCTCCTAGCATCCTGTGGCTGCTTCTGAGGGGAGGAGCTGCCACCATTCTTCCTCTTTCTCATTATCATAGAGAGCCTGCCATTGAGGCCTTTCCTTAGGCCAATCAGAGGGCTTGATTAATTGCCTTTCCCCAGACCAACCCTAATAACATGATGTAACCATTGTCCTATCTGAACCCCGTCTACTATCTGTAATGCTGTCACCAATTGTGACCTTGTAATGTTAATAAAAGAGCAGTCTCCTGGGGGCAGGGCAGGAAGAGACGGAGAAGAGACGGACAGAAGAGAAAGAGAACAGAGAAGACTTCTCATTCTGTTTCCTTGAGTCGCCCACCAGGAGTACTGCTGGCAGACATCCATCTGTGTGTGTGGCTGACTTCTTTAATCTATTGCTAAGAGACTCTTTGCTATCCTATTATCCATTATCTGGTGATCACCACAAAGCCCATCAGCCTGCTCATTGCCTGAACCCAACATAATATAACAGTTCTTCCTTTATTACTGCTAGAAGGAATTAATCACAAGTTTCTCATTATTTTTTCTGGTTGCTTGCAAGTACTGTAATTTTAAAACGTGTTGCTGTTTTTCTACTTTCATGTAAGGAACTCCCAAATTTGATCAGCAATAGCAAGATGGAAAAGAGAGGGATTGGTTTTTGGGTTAGGTTTTCCTGCTAAAACCCAAGTTCCACTTTTCCCTTGCAGGGGAGAATATATTTGGCCTAATCATGGGGCTGACTCTGACTGGGGAGAAGTCCTGCAAGGAAAGATTAAAAAGTCTCCTCTTACTGTGATCATATTTGAGTTTATATTCTTGCAAGTGTACAGACACACTAAACTGCAAAGAACTGCACCTAATTCCCTAGAGATATAAGACATGCTTGTACAATTTCCTTCTCTCTGTATGTATTTCATTTCCCCATTAACTACTACGCTATGCATCACTGAATACATCTGTGACTGCAAACAATACCACTGACTAAGAGGCCTGACCACCTTAGAAAAAAAATGCAGGAAATACTATGGGTTTGGGGTGGGCTGATTCACATTTTTTCCCCACTGATCACATGACATAACAGAAAATGCAAATCGGCTTTGATTCCAATACCCAATCCATAATTTCTCCTCCATGCCAGAGACTATTCTACTTTTTAAAAAGTTGAACCCGTTCACCTGCTTCAAGGTATGTGATTACTTTGAACCAATGTAGAAAGAACAGAGCTCTTGCACACAGAGAGAAAGTGGTAGCCCTCACTTCTTGCCTCACAAGTGAGGATGAGGCATGCACACACATAAGCAGCACCAGCATTCACCTCTCTCTATAAAGCCTCTTTCCCAAGACACTTCTCTCTTTTTTAAAAAACAGCTTCTCCTAGATGGGCAGTGCATTTGTGGCCACTTAAATTGAAAAACTGGTAACTGTTTCCCAGCTGCTTCACAGCTGGTAACCTGAGCTCTTGAAAGGAGGGGTGATTTTTGAATATAACATTATTACAATAACAATAATCAAATAAATGTAATCTTATGGTATTCCCAAGCATTACACAGGGATGTGAAAGCTAGATAAAAACTGATGGGAGGAAAAACCCCTATTAATTTGGAATGTGCATTATGGATACCATGGATTGTCAGAAATAAGTGGATACTAGGTCAAATGAATTCTGAACTCTCTATATAACTAAACTGAGACTGGCATGCTTTGGGCATATCACAAGAAGACCAGACTTATTGGGAAAAAAAACAGTAACACCAATGAAAGTTGAGGGAACCAGGAAAGAGGATGACCAAATATAAGGTTGAGTGATTTAATAAAGGAAGCCACAAACTTGTGTTTGTTCGAGCTGAGCAAGACAATTAATGATAGGATCTTCTGATGGTCACTAATTCATAGGGTTGCCATGGAGTAACAAAAAAAGTGTTATTGATAGTTATTCATTTATTATTTATTTTCAATTAAAATAACTAGCACATTAATTTGGCAGCAGCTTTTAGTTTTACAGTGGTGCCTCGCAGTACGACGTTAATTCATTCCAGTGAAATCACTGCAGAACGAAAACGTCGTAAAGAGAAAAAAGCCATTGAAACGCATTAAAACCTGGTTAATGCGTTCCAATCGGCTAAGAACTCACCGTTCAGCGAAGATCCTCCATAGGGGTGGCCATTTTTGGGTGCCTGTGCAGCGAAAAATGGCTCCTAAACACAGCGGGGAGCCATTTTGAGCACCCGGTGGCCATTTTGAAAACCCGACGATCAGCTGTTTTGATCGTCAATAAGTGAAAATAGGTTCCCGAAACAGGGAACCGATCGTCACGCAGCGAAATCCCCCATTCAAAATGTTGTTTTGCGATCACTTTTGCGATCGCAAAAACCTCATCGTAATGCAGATTCATCGTTAAACGGAGCGCCCGTCTTGCGAGGCACCACTGTAATTTGAATGTATTTTAAATTTTTATTTGATTTTAATGTGGATTGCAAGCATCATTTGAAATAAAATATTCTTTTTCAGACCCTCTTTTCTCTCCCATGGATGAAAGCCTCTCCACACATTATTCCAGCGATGACACATGGGTGATG